CCACCAGAGTGAGTCTCGATTGTCTCTTATGCTGACGATTGTTCGATCAAGGCGTCTAGGAATGGAATTGATGGCTTCCACGTCACGGATACCGAATGCTGGCACGATCTCTATATCTGGCTGATCGACTCCTGGAAAGTGGGGGAGGGGACACACGCGGTCAAGGAATAGCGGGAGTTCCTCCGGTGGGAATACCGGTAGCGATACCGGCGGCCAACATGCAGGAATTAGACCTGAAGATGCCACAACAAGGTAACGATAGCGACTGTGGAGTCTACGTTGTGGAGACGGTCGAAACGGTGATGATGTACATAGAACGCAGATAAGGAGGGTCGGGGTGCAAATCCAGGCCGTTCATGGCAGCCCACAAACGCATGCACATGCTGAGGGTATTGCAGCAACCACCGGATTCAGAAACACTACCACCGGAACCCACAGAGGCAATATCACCACTACCTTCACCGCCACACACACCAGCACCACCAGAGGTAGTGCCACTGTCACCGTCACCGTCCCGAGCACCAGCACCGTCTGAAGCAATTTCACCACCACGATGCTCCTCAACGCCACCAAGGAGACAAAACGTCATTCCGATGAAGCTGACGGGCCAGCGCTGGACCAGTTCCTAAAAGTCGCCGAGAGAGTCCGGAGGGCTCTACGAAACATCGAGGAGGATACCTGCAATGGGGTTCACGTATAATGCCGAAACACCGGAAAACATAAGCTCGCCGAAGAGGGGGAAGTGTGAGGACTGAATATCCACGAAATGTAGCCCAAAGAGCATTACCTATAAAGAAGAGACTTAGCAATATCTCGTATGTTAGCACGGAGCTGTGGTCGTGAACGCACAGCTACTAAAGAATAGCCCTGCTATTGTTTCATATGTGTAGTGGCTTCCATTTAAATATCTTTGTGAAAAAAAAACAGATTTTTGTCTAGAAATTGTTTGTTTACTTTTTTTCTTTCATAATACAATCCATGATGGAATAATTTTTAGAAGGTAGTTTCACTTCAAAAATTTTGATATAAACCGTGTCTGTGACAAACGTGCAATGTGGCTACTACTACGAGATAGAACTTGGGAATTTTCGATTGTTATTTAAGATATTTTTTAACAGAACATGTAAAGATTTATATATTTCAAAACTGATCACTTAATTTTTATTATACATATAAGTACTTTATACATACATTCTTGCCACTGCTAATCGCATGAGTACAAATCTTAAAAACGTTATATATAGAACATTCTTCGAGGTGGTCCAACATATGCTGGCTCAATATCTCGAATTGCTACCTCTAGGCTACTTTCAATAATAAAATTGAGTAGAGAATCACCTCTTTCATTGATGTCCGCGCCCCCCAAATTTTTTATGCGAGTTTTCGTCGGATCCTACCACCAGCGCCTGACTCCCGTTGTCGGCTGAATCCACCAATTTCTTGAGCTCGGGCGGGGGTGCATCTTCTTCATGACGCAGGTAGCATAATGCAAGAAGTAGTGGTTCCTTCTTTGCATTCTTAAGTGCCACTACGGTTAAATCGTCTGAGGAAAGATTAGTGTTAATATAAGAGTTTATACTTTTTTCAACCAGAACCGCCGCTCTTACCTTTTTTTCAGCATTCGGAGTATTACCTTGTTACCCGGGGCAATCCAGGGCTCTTGGACTAAGGCCACACCGGGGCCGTTCGGCTAAAGCAACTTTACTTTTGTGGAGGTTTATCTGGAGAACCTTCAGCATTCACAGCCTTAGAGCGGCGTCCAAGATCTCATCTAGGCCTAGATCCTTTTCCACCTCTCTTGTTTTGAGCGTGTTGTCATTATTGCCAGTTGGGTAGCGTTTCTTGAGGCGAACGAACACGCTACTCATGCCCCACGCCATTTCTCCAATCCTTTCGTAGAGAATGTCCTCTGCCGTCTTTTTGATTTGGAGGATATAATCCTATACACTCTCGACATTTGTTGCTTTGGGGATATGTAACACCCTCCAATCGTCAGTCGTCACATTTGGCCTAGCGCAGGGTTCGGAAATATTCATATATGTATCAACGTTCGCATACATACATTTATGATTTTATACGCGAAGGTGAACGTATCAAATATTCTGTATTGATTCTCCTTCGCGAACGAGAAAACCAGTCCAGATAGCTCGTGTTCGCGAATGTTAGGTATGCATTGGTGGACCAAACAGCGTGCGTTCATATATGTAGCTATAAGTGGCAGCGATGCCTTGGCAAAGGTTCACTGCTGTCGTTCTCGTTCATAAGTGAATGTAAATTCTGCGGCAAATATTCGCGGAAAGTTGGTGTGGCTAGGGATACTATTCTATGCGAAAGCAATTTTGTTAATTGCATAAGATTTGCACCGTTCATTCGATTTTCAAAAATTAGGTTTCAAATGAAAGGGCTCTAGATGTGCAATAAGAATACACTAGAGTGCCAGTTACTGTCGAAATTCGAAAGTTTTTCTAGTTTTTAGGAGCCTTGGAGAGGGTTTCTAACTTAACAAATAGCAAAATTTATACAGTACAAATTAACTTACCGGAACATCTACTTTGGAAATAAAACGAAACTAAAATTTTTTTATGTTTTTTGGTTTTTGTAGCGATCACTTTGTAGAATATATTTTTGGTACACTTGTAGGCTGGTGTGATCTATTATTTAATGGTGCAAATAAAACACTTATTCCACCTTCGTTGCCCAACGTTTCGCTGAAATTTCCAGCATCATCAGGGGCCACTATGTTTATTAAATCCAACAAAGAAATACAACGAAAAAACAAAAGATGTTCAAATGAATAATAAAAGTTGGCATACATGTGTTTGTAAAAACAAAGACAACAATTATGGACTAATACAAAGAACATATACTCACAATAATATTAAACATTTACTTTAAACTTAATATTAATA